TAAATAGATGTATGCATATAGGTATATATATGTGTATGCATATAGGTACATATAGATACAATTAGATATATACGGGTGCCACGTCGAATCGCATCCTAAATCGGATCACCATGGGTCCAAAAGCGCTAAAGCTGGGAAAATTTGCCAGCAAGAAAACAAAGCAGGGAAACTTGAACTCTTTCTTCGGCATAAAGGTGTGTATCTAGTCTTGTACTTCTTCTTCGGGAATTAGATGTGTATTTTGGTTACTGCCGTCTGCTTATGCTTGTCACCTGAAAAAAAATGCACATCGATTACTCACAGCATCAATTATAGCGAATCTGTTACTGACAAATATCGCTTCTGCATGTTTGAACTCACCTGGACTGGTTCTAGCCTGGACAACAAGGCTCGTAACTAGCATGCGTATAGAATAGCAAACTTGTGAATCTATTAGCCGATTTGTAGCGTGCTTCATGTCGTATTTGTCGTATGTCGTATGTCTATGATTCTATCTGTTTCTTATAATTGCCCGCTAATCACAACTCTGACGCCATGTAGAGTGCACGTAGCAAGGGGCTTCTATCAGCTATTATATGATGGATGTTGACACTTGTGTTTATTATTTTGTGATTTCTAACGCAAAGTTTCAACCTATTTAAATCTGACTCGCTCAGGTCGCGTGTTTCGGTCCAAATCACTGTACTACCCGTGTACAATCTGGATCTGGCTTTTTATGTATATATATACCTATATACATGATGGAATACACTCGTGTGTCGTGCTATGGGCATTCCAACTACTTGATAGGTTAAAAGGATTCCCTGATACCTACGCGGGTTTTGGGAGTATACACGATATATCATATGATATACAACACAGGGTAGTGTTTGTCCAGTACACGGACATGTCGCTCACGGACTCTGCAATACACATATCGCCCTTAGAAGGAAGTTACAGACGATAGCTCAGGGGAAGCTGCGGGGAACAAACGTCCACGCGCAGAGAAGGATAAGGAGAACATCAATGCACACTCGCCCAAGAAAGCTAAGATCAAGGACCCCGCCACCAGTCTTGGCAACAAGTTCAGCGCTTTTGCTGCGAAGAAACCCGTGAAGAAGGGGTCTACGGAAGTCACGTCATTGGTGAGTGACGAGGAGACTGAGGGCAGTGCGGCTGTGCCGAAGAAGGCGCTCCCTGGGAGGAGCAAGCCACAGGTGTGTTGTGGGATGGGTGGGGAACGCTGGACTAGCGAGGTACGCTGTAGTGCTTACGTGTAGTTGTGTGTGGTTGAGTACTCATGTGATATTTCTATTCAACAGTCATGCGAGTATATCACATACATAACCTCGCACCGGCTATAGTCGGTACGATTGTGGTGCAATTATGCGAACGCTGTTGTGACAACTCGTTTGCACTGATCGCTTGCGTGTCTTCAAAGCGCTGTAGAAGCTGTTTGATTGTCCTACCGCCTATTATGTCAGTCGAATCCACTACTCACAGAACCTGAATACAAAATCGAGTCAGATCCTCACAACGGTAGCTGTACAGTGCAGAAACAGGATGCTCTGTAAGTTCAGATATTCACGCCAGAACATAATCGTCATTGCGTAGGTGATGAGTGTCGACAGCGAAGATGACAGCGATGAACCCTTGGCGGCTGGTGTTAAGCGGGAAATTAGTCAGTCCACCACAGCCAAACCGAAGGGCCACTCACATGTGATCGAAAGCGACAGCGAAAGTGAGCGTTCAAGCACTAAAAACGCGGAAACCCCCGCGAGAAAACCTCTTTCAAGCGTAGGAGAGTCTGGCTCGAAAGATAGCGCTGTGAGGAAATCTATGGAAAGATTCCGGGCGCCTACGGCCAGTTCCGCTATGAAGAGCAAGCAGAACGACATTATCAAGGACTCGAACACACCGTCTGGGACGCAAAGCCTGAATACGAATACACAGAGTGAAATTAAGAAAAAGGTACTTGTGCTTCGCGTCGTCACTTACCTCTTGTAATGATTTTCCTCTGTTTTCAAGTGCGTGTGCTTCGCGTCTTCACTTACCTCTTGTAATGATTTTCTTCTGTATTCAAGTGCGTGTGCTTCGCGTCTACACTTACGTCTTGTAATGATTTCCTCTGTATTCAAGAGCGTGTGCTTTGCGTCGTCACTTACCTCGTGTAATGATTTTCCTCTGTATTCAAATGCGTGTGCTTCGCGTCTTCACTTACCTTTTGTAATGATTTTCCTCTGTATTCAAGTGCGTGTGCTTCGCGTCTTCACTTACGTCTTGTAATGATTTTCTTCTGTATTCAAGTGCGTGTGCTTCGCGTATTCACTTACCTCTTGTAATGATATTCCTCCGTATTCAAAGTGCTTGTGCTCGGGGTCTTGGTATACCTCTGTTTCCTCTGTATCTAAAGTACCTGTGCTTGAGGTCTTCGTATACCTCTTGTATAGGTTTTCCTCTGTATCTAAAATACTTGTGCCTGGGGACTTGGTATCTTGCATAGATTTTCCTCTGTATCTAAAGTACTTGTGCTTGGGGTCTTCGTATACCTCTTGTATAGATTTTCCACTGTATTCAAAGTACTTGTACTTGGGGTCTTGGTACACCTCTGATTTTCCTCTGTATTTAAAGTACGTGTGCTTGGGGTCTTGGTATACCTCTTGTATACATTTTCCTCCGTATCTAAAGTACTTGTGCTTGGGGTCTTGGTATCTTGTATAGATTGTCCTCTGTATTTAAAAGACTTGTGCTTGAGGTCTTGGTATCTTGTATAGATTTTCCTCTGTATCTAGAGCACTTGTGCTTAGGGTCTTGGTATGCCTCTTGTATAGATTTTCCTCATTCGTGTTTGGGGTCTTTGTATTATTTATTGGTGTCACACGTCTGCTATTCCGAATGTATTTAATATTCCACATTTGGAAATTAATATACTCGATAGTGTGTGGTGCAGGATATCTGATACACCGACGTATTCTTGACAAACAGGCTTTGAAAACAGAGTCATCGGCAGACGAGACTTTCAAGAAGTATATCAAGACGGCGTCCGCAGGTAAAGGGAAAGCGAACATCGCCACTCCAAAGAACTCTGGCGGCCGTAAATCCGGGAGTGCTACGCCCAAAGGCAGTACAGGCTCGGATGGTGGAACCCAGGCAGTAGACGGAGAGATAGCCGTACACTACGAGGGTGGAAGGTCGGCTATCCGGTATGCTTCAGATGATGATAACAAGGGCAAACTGGTTGCGGTTATGTCTGTGGCCAAACCTTATGGGCGAGAGGAGTCGAAGCAGTTCACACCGCTGGAAAACCAGTACATTAAGATGAAGCGAAAGTATCCGGACGCCATTCTGTTTGTGGAGTGCGGGTACAAGTTCAGGTTCTTCGATGAAGATGCAAAGGTAGGTCTGTGGATGCAGACGTATGCGTTGTACATACACACATTCAATCCTTTCAGACGTGGCGGCGTTGTACAACTGGTACCTCTCCATGGATAACTGTTATTAAGTGCCTGGTAGTGCGCAGCCTTAGTTGCGTTTGTGGGATTATCCTGTATAACACTCTCCGTTGAATTTGGTGTATAACGTCAATTTGTGAACATTGGTTCGTTGTTTATATATTCTCAGGTGGCAGCAAAGGCCCTGAACATCTGTTGTTCTAACTATGGCAACATGGCGGGTGCCAGCATACCAGTCCAGCGACTACCGATACACGTCCGCAGGTAAAGTCTGCTTGAAGTGTATTGACTGATGCCAGATGTTCTGCTTCTGTGCTATGTCGAGGACATACTTATTTGTTTTACTTTCACTTAGAGTGCCGCACCCGATTCTATCTGCTTGTGTTGTGGGACCTACACTGTTGGATATATTCTATTTCGAGAGTGCTGTTGCGATTGATATTGGGCTACACATTTGCCGTACAATAGGATAGGTATTGTGTGTTCGCCTATGAAGTATGGTTTTGAACCCATCGTCTTTTTTTACCGCTACAGATTAGTGGAGCTGAACTACAAGGTGGGTGTGATAGGTCAAACAGAGACAGCGGCGATCAAGGCGACTGGTACTACTAAAAGTGGAGTGTTCACTAGAGATCTTACCGCAATGTACACTAAGGTAAGGGGTGAGGATTGTTGTGCTTATGATAGAATGCTGTTGGAATCAATATGTATATACAATTTTTTTGGCGCGGCGTGAGACATGAACCTGGTGAGTTGGATTTTTTAACATTTATTACTCAGCAGCTTCGGCAAATAGATACGTAGATACACGTCCCCTAAAAGAGATATCGTAGCACACGTTCGAGGCGTGTTTGACTAAAAATGATTTTCTTTGTTCAATACAGGGCACTCTTGTGGGGGAAAGCGTAAACGATGGTGGCGGTGCCGAAGGTAGCGGCACTTTCGAGCAACTGAGTTTTCTGCTGTGCATCAATGAAATTGCCCCTGAAGACGATAAAAAGGGCGACAGCGATACGGTAAGGGCCAATCCATATCCGTTCGTGATACTTGTTTCCTGATAGTTGTGTTTGGCAGCATACCGGAATCGCCACAGTCCTGTTGCGTTGATAGTGTAAATGCACGTCTGTTTCTACATGCTCACGAGCATTGTTGCCGTGCCCACACCTCGTGGCCCACGCATATTCTTCCGCACACGGACTAGAGTACTTTCATTGCCACTGTTATTGTATTGTGTGATGGCTTGCTCAATGAAAGCCGAGTCACGGCAAATTTGTTCGTATTTCGTTCAAGTTTATCTGTACCTCACCTGCAGGTTAAAATCGGATTGCTCGCAGTGCATGTGGGCACGGGGGAGATAGTATACGACAGCTTCGAAGACAGCTGCACGCGCAACCAATTGCACACACGGATTGCGCATCTGAAACCCAGCGAGATCGTGGTGTCCACAGGACTGTCCCCCCGTACACAGAAGGCCGTGATGAGTTATGCCACAACCAGGTATGTTGTATAGGTGTCAACGATACGGTTGGTTTGGTACAACATCCTCCCACTTTAGTTTGCATCGCGGTCAGGTACTGCCGTTGCTACTTCTTGAGATACGCGCAAAGCAATAGACGTGGTTTACGATAATTAGAACCGCCAATTGTGAATATTCTTTCCACTGATTCCCAACTACACTGGAAATATTCGTTCTTCCGTGTCGGAGTTATATGTTCTGAATTCGATTCTATGTACGATACAAGCCTTTACTTTCGCAGCGTTCCCACGCATAGAGGTTTCAAAATATATCAATCCCATCGAAAGACTCAAGAAAATATAAAAACCATTTGATGACACATATTGTGAATCAAAAGCTCATCACTAGCTCGGTTCATAAGATTTTTGGGAAGTGGACTCAGAATATATATATATATATATATATGTATATATATATATATATATATATATGTATATATATGTGTGTGTGTGTGTTGTGTGTGTGCGTGTGCGTTCGTGTGTGTGATATATATATATATATATATACATACATATATAGTCAGGCACAAGGCAATTATGTGATGTATGTTCATATGGCAATCCGATAAAACGAGCGAATTAATGCGTATCATCCAAACGGTCGACCTGCGTTCGGAAGAGCGCAGTATAACCAATTGAGTATCTATATACACATGTGCATACGCATTCTCTAACGGCCGTCTAAACAGAAGATTGACGAGTGAACATTCTTGTCATTTTAGTCATGTAATCACACCTACCAGTACCGAACTGTCTGTTTTATATTTTGGGTCTATAATCACGAATCTATTGGCTGAGCTTGCTTCATACACTGCCTTGTCTCGCATGGAGTTCTGGAATCTAAGCTGTAGATATAGATCAACATGTTGAGTGTCGGATTGCTATGGTTCACTCTACTTAACGATTTCATCATGACTAAAGCGTTTCTGCTATTCTGCTGTGTGAATTAATACAACATACGACACCTTCGGTTTCGGCAGTTTCGTCCGAGTCGAATGCTTAAAAAATACACTGACTGTTGAGAAGGCCGATGGCCTGATAACCGATTTCTATGGTATGTTATTCTTGACCGTATTTATTTAGGCCATTCTGTTCTTCTACGAAACTAGATTTACCTGGATTCACCCCTTATATATTATCAAGCTTTGTCCCTCTCGTCCTTTTGCTTGTGTTTCTCCCATCCTTTTGCTTGTGAATGGACATTCGACAACACCTATTTGAACCAAAATTGGATCCTTAATCTTTGCCCTACTGATTTTTCCGCTCAAACTTTAGCCGCCTCAAAGTCCAAGCGGAGTGCGGAAGAGTTCGTAACCGCCATCCAAGCAATGCCCGATGTTGTGACTGTATGCTACGCATACTTGATTCGCTATTTGAAGTTGTTCAAGCTCGAGAGGTAACGTTTGCTGTCCCAATTCGAGTCGATTATTTTTTTAGCTCCTGCGGCGTATTGTGTGGCTTTGGAATGTTTCATCTGTTCCTCTGCAAATATATAAGCACACCTTCCGGACGAGTAGTTTGTCCCTCTCGTATACTTACAAACACACACATGATGGATGTGTATACACGTATTCATTTAGTATATGTACATGCACACTCATACCTCGCACTCGCGCCATCCCAGGGTATTCCGGCTATCAGCTAGTAAGATTGTATCTTTCGAGCACCAAGGCTGCATGCAGCTGACGTCAAAAACTGTGGCAAATCTTGAGCTTCTCGCAAACGACACGGACCTAACTGTAAGTCAAATCCTTGCTGGAAAATCAATGTCTGATTGTTTGTTTGTTTATCTTGTCAATCACAGGTAAAACATCACATTATATATCTCGTACGTATGCGGGTATTGATTTGTTGGTTGGGTCACGATATGTATTCTTTTCTTATTTCTACTAGCATGTCTGTCTCAGCTTTGTAGATTAGAAATTATATTTGAATTTGCCTATTGCTTTGCTGGCAGTATCGGATTGTTTACATCCTGGCAGCCGCTATGCAATCTCCCAACAGCTCGCCAGGTTGGCTCTAGCTTTCGGTTAACCTTGTAGTTTGGTTGATGGCTCATAGTACACAAAACCTCAATTGACCTCAATCAATCGATGTGCATTAGGAACACGGCTCGTTGCTGCAAGTAGTGAACTTCACTAAGACACAGTTTGGCAAGCGCCTGATGAGTAAGTGGATCACCCGACCATTGACATCAGCCAGGTATGAGTCCATGTTCAATGTAGTGGTCGAGACACAGCTAATAGAACGAATCACAATTTGCATGATGATGTCTATTACTGTATGTTCCTATTATACATCGTGAGTATGAGATAGTGTACGTGTCGTGCGCGTGATTGCGCATCTGAAGCCATAGGGTGGCACGTCTGCGAAATCACGAGCTTGAAATAGGAAATCTAGCTTTGAAGGGTTGTCCTTTAGGAGGCCCATACACTCTTGTGGCCTAGGGAGGGTCACGAATCTTATTCAAGTATACACATGTCACGAGCTTATAAGCCAACCAAACTTGTCACGTCGGGTTAGCTGGTTCAAGAATATTAGTGGACACACTCACGCCAGGCCGTGATCGACCCTTCGATCTCAACAGAATACTGTGCTCAAACCTCCCCTGCGTACAGGGCTATCAACGCACGATTGGATGCTGTCACAGTCTTACGAGACACCAGCCTACCGTGGCTGCCTCGCCTGCGCGCCCTGTTGGAGAACATGCCGGATCTGGAGAAGGGGTTGACACGGGTACTATACAAAAAGGTATCTTTGTTTACGCGCGTGTATGGCTTCCAGTTCTCTTTGTATATTCGATGGTTAAGACTGGTTCTGGATCGGTCGCCTTGCTCACGTATGCGAAACAGCGCCCAAGTATTCCTGACTGCCAAACTTGGCGTATGACGGGCGTGTATACTTCATGGTCGCATAAATCCATAGTGTATGAATATGAAAGACTCGTCCACATATATATATATATATCTATATCTATATCTATATATATCTATATCTATATATATATATATATATATATATATATATATATATATATATATATATATATATTA